ATTTGAAGGTTAAAATTCTGTTGATTTTGAAAACCAAAAGCATTAAACACAGCCCTTTGATCAATCTGCATAGGCAAGATGCTATTAAAGAATTCCACTTTTTAAACTGTAAATGAAGATGATCCAGGCATTGTCACCAACAGACTAAAGATGGCCTGCTTTGAACCATACTGAGAAAATAAATTATCAGCAAAGCAAAGAACATATTTCTATTGTGGATCCTTTTTAATTTTTTTCATCTCCTCACCAGAAGCACCTTACCTTTGGCTCTTTAAATTCCAGATCCTCTCCATACTGGATGGTGAAGTCTATGTGCTGCAGGACGATGTTGATACTTTCCTCGTCAGAGCGATCGAAAGGCAGAAATCGAACCATTCCATAGTCATCAATCTGGAGGGAGGAGTCAAAAGAAAATCCAGTAAGTTAACTCTCAGTCACAGCACTCTAAGCCACCTCCTTAAACCACACTTGTCTGCACTGCTAAAATACCACTCAAAGCCACACTGCAAAACAGTGGCAATTCCCCACTCAGAGAGTTCTACACGATAGAAAAAGCCATTTCCCAAAGGATTCACAGAAAATGTATTGGCTACAATCCAAACATCAAGAGTATAGTATCAATAGCATCAAGAATCTTATGCTAATCTGAAAAAATAAAGAGCTGAGTTAAAAGAGGCAAAAAGTGATATTGAATTTAAGGATACCAGTTCAAAAGCAATATACCTACCAATCCACATATAGATTTAGTCAGCTTCTTAAACCTTTTGCTTTTCAATATATTTGTAGAATCTTCAATCATAGAATACATGTCTGGATCTAAGTACCTGGGAGAAACAAAGTCATCATTAACACTCAAAGTCTGTCATTTAGAATGACACAAGAGATGCAAGATGATTATTTACAGAAAAATCCAAAGATCAGTACAAACATGGAGCTGTTCTTTTGACTCTGTAAGCATCCTATTCAGCTGTTTAAAGACTATGTTTAATATAAACCAAATCCATCTTGTCCCATTCCAAAAGAGGATGTTTAAATTGTGAGAAACATTAGACTGAATTTTGAGTGAACTTTGCCTCAATATATCACACTACGAGTAAATAATTTTTTTGAACTTACTTTTCTATTTCCTTCTTGGCTTTCTTGCTCAGTAAATCCATTTTGGTCATGATGTTTATCTGTGGAATCTCTAAAGATATCATTGCACTGAGCGCTGCCAGAATTCCAGAGATAAACTAAAAAGAGAATGAAAAATGATGTATTAAAGTACAGAAAAACACAAACCCAGCACGCAGGACACTCAACCCCAGACCAAATGTAGTAATGAATATATGGAACATGGACACAAAGCGATATGAGGAGTTGGGATATGAGGAGTTTCCTGTTGGAAAAGGGAGGTGTGAAGTATCCCACCTATTTTTGGAGCCTCGGATCTGGATCTGCCACTGGAAAGGGCATTAAGAAAACCCAAACCCTTCTCAGGATTGTTCCTGATAAATGGGGAAAGTGGCCTGCTCACTCTCCAGCTCTGAGAAAGCTCTCATGGAATCACATGAGATTCCAAGAATTTAAATTGGAAGCGACTTCTGGAGGTTACCTGGATCCTCCAACTGCTCAAATAGAGCAGCTTCTAAGTCAGACCAGGCTGCCCAGTCAAGTTTTGACTCCATGAATGTTCACTGCACAACCTCTGTGCCTGCTCCAGTCTGACCACTCTCCCAGTGCTGGTTTTCTTTACATCCAACTGGGATACCCTTTGCTGCAACTCATGTCTGAGGCAGATGAAGACAAATCTCCCTGGGCTTAGCATTTTCTCCTCCAGGCAAACCCAGCTCCCTGAACGGCCCAGACTTTTTGTTCTTTGTCAATATGAACTTTTCCAACAGCTTTCAAATGGTTACCTTAAAAGATTCCACCATAAACTGAGAATCCACAAGAAAGACTCCACAGACACGGAATTCCCACTGCTGGAGCTGCTCCACCAGCTGTTTCATCACTGGCAGGTGCGTGTAGAGCTCGATCTGACCTGGGGCACACTCAGGATATCAATGGGTAGGAATGGGAAGCAACCAGTTTTGCAGTTATATATAAACACAGAATTACACTTAATATAAATAAAAACTGGTAAGAAAAGCATCCTCTTTTAGGCAACTCTGACTGGTGAAGTGGAAAAGAAATAAAAGGGGTATTTTCCCTCCCTTGACCTCCAATTAAGTGTTATTTGCAGTTGCCACAGTGTCCCCACACCACATGTTGTTACCAAACACCAGTGCAGTCACCCAGAGCAGCCCAGGACCAAGGTAACTCCTGAAACATCTGGAAGTGACTCTGACAATTGTTAATAATGCAAAAAACCATGAATTATCACCACCAACTAAACCAAAGCACTGCAAATTTTATACCGTGATATAAAATACAAAACGATACCAAAACACTGACGTGTGTTTACCTGGGCAGTCAAACAATATATAATCATCCTCCACGTGCCCCAGGCTCTCCTCCAGCCAGTTAAAGTTGTTGGCAAAGTACTCCATGCAGAACACCAAACCTCCATTGGGGCCAAACCTCAGGGATTCATCCTCCATCACATCGTCCACCTCTATCAGCTCACGGATGTCTGTGACAACACCAAACACTGGGAATAAACCCTCCAAACAGTCTGGGAGGTCAGAGAGCCAACATTCCTTCACTGCAGCACTGGGTGCCCAGGGATCTCTATTCATGAGCTAGTACATATTCATTACCTTTCCTGAATACACACATATATGCTAAATACTTTCACGGACCGAGCTGGATATGAGTGGGAGTCTTTTGAGGGTCCCTGGTGGCCGTTTGGGGAACATCCCATTCCCCAAATTTTCCTTTCATGGTCCCGGATCCGCTAATGAATCTCTTCTCCTTCAAGGTATCCCAACTATGAGGTCAGGTCAAGATGTACTTTTCCTATCATCTTTGTTTAGACACACTTTGTTCTCAAAACTATGACATATACAGGTAGATGTTAATCACTGGCCCAGGTAAATACAGGGATTAAGAACTACCTGGCACAAGACCCATCAGTCACCGATGTGGGGAGTCAGCACTATTACAAGACTACATTAATCTCTGACATAGGTGCTGAGCACTATCGGGCACAAGACCGGGCATTATTCACTGATACAGGAACCAGATGCTATTTTGAAGTTTGTAACGGGCTCCTCGGCGCTCACCTGCCATCACGGGGTAGCTGAACAGCTCGGCCGCCGGGTCCAGGTTCACCACCTGCACGGCGCGGCCCAGCGCCTCGCAGTGCTGCACCATGGTGGAGCAGTACGTGCTCTGCAAGGCACACACGCCCGTCAGGGGCTGCCCAGGGCCTCCCCCCGCCCGCCGTCCCCCCGCCGCTCCACGCTCACCTTCCCGCTGCCCGCCGGGCCCATCACCAGCTGCGCGTACCGGGGCATGGCGGCAGCGGCGGCGGCACCGGCGGGGAATGGCCGCTGCGGCGCCCCGTAGCTCGGCGGAGCACGTGTCTCGGGCGGGCCCCCCCCCGGTACGGCGGCCTGGTGGGGCCACACCGTACCCGCCCCTCTCGCGAGACGGCGGCGCTGGGGCGGG